ACCAAGGACAGCGGAATACCTTCAGGGACCATCGCCAAACAGCAGGACCAAAAAAACATATATTTTCGCCGGCTGCCAGTCCGATGACTTCCGGGGGACAACCCTTGCTGTCAGGTGTTCGTGGGGCCATTGGAACAATGGCCGCCGTCCGACTCGATAATGGCATTATCGGTGGTCCATCGGCTTTGCCTCCAGCAGCAGCATCATCCGGTGGTCGAGGTAGTTGACTCCTCTGACTCTGGCTCCGGTACAAGGAGTTGTCTGTAGATGTCTTTAAATCTGTAAATAGCGGCTGCATTCATGAAAATCATTGAAAGTGAATCGGACACTTAATGGCTTGAAATCTCAATCAAAGTCCTTGAATAAGCAAAAGCATCGGCAAATGCCACCTTCTGTGAGTTCGAGAAAAACCATTTCTGCAAATGAAAAGAAGAATATTTCCATCAATTTTGTTGGATGCCAAAAAATTATATCAGTAAAACATTAATTCATGGTTTGGGAAATCGTTTTGTGTACGAAAAAGTTCAAAATAAATCACAAAAGTATCCTTTACGAATGGATAATTATATCCGTAGGAACCAAAGATCATTTCCTGTTTTGACATCTTGGAATCGTGGTGCCATCACATCACCTCCGCTTTGACTCAGTTGAACCTCAGTGTTTGCCGGTGGAGTGATTGATGCTCCAGTTGATGGATGCCTCCTTGGGGCAGCACAAACCGAATGTGTGTTTGCTTGTGTGTGTGTGGTAGCTGGCTCCAGTGGCTGGCAGTTCCGTTCAAACTTTCCCGACCGACACTGACAGCATTCCCACCGAAAAGTATTATTAATATCAGATGGCAGTGTCGCTCAATTTAAAATATTGCTAGCAAACACATTCATGAACTTGAGTAATTTTTAACAAACAACTTTTGAAATTACTTAATCGCAAAGTTCTGCGCTCTGGCAGCAGCAATGTGGCGTCTTTTCTGGAAAAAGCGAAAGCGGAAAGGGAAGTGAAACGGGAGCGGAAGCGGGAGCGGAAACGGAACATAAATTGTGTTTATTACGAAGAGCGTGGCATACTTTTGTGCGCAATTTAAAGTGGAAATATGAAGGGCAAACGGTGACAAGAAGGAGCTGCTCCCACACGCATTTAATTAAAGCGCAATGAAGACATTTTCCACGGGAGTCTGTGTGCCTATGTGTCCGTGTGCTTTCGTTGGTGTTGCGAAGAAGAAAAGCTGTTAAAAATATTCGAGACACTTGAATGTTTCCCCACTGACACTCGCACGGAGACGGGGATGCTCGGCGGAGCAGCCCCATAGAGCACAATAAATATTATTTATGAGCCTTCCGATAAGAAACCCGACGCACACACACACACGTCCTTTTTGGAATGCAGTCGCTCTTACACGTAAGCATCTATATTTTTCCATATCTAATTTCTGCCATCCCGTGGCGTTCTAGGACATTATTTAAGGGTTACACTTGAATTTGAATGTCCCCTAGACCCGTACACTGCATAGTTCGCTAAATGATCCTCATTTTTAGCACCTGCCATCCTGATAATGATTAAATATCCATATGTATGTAGGTATGTGTAAGCATTTGCTTGGCTGATAAATACGGGACCAAAGCCAACAGCGGGACAGGCAGCCGCTTGTTTATTTTAATAATGTTAACCTAATTAAGTGATTAATATGCAGAATGTGCGCAGAGATTAAAACGATGCGCGCACGCTGTGTTTAATTATCGAATTAAATTTTGTTGGTCGACTGCCTGGCTGACAGTTTACGGGCAAACTTGGCCCAAACTGATAGACCCATTTTTTTGCCATCACCCACTTAAGCCCTAGGCATCCACCATCATTAATCAAGTGGCGGGCTCTGTCCGCTTTAAAATAACAATATCCGCCCAGGACACTGACAGTCGCTTGTTTACACATGTTCCAGACATTGAACTTTCTGTTGAGTAATTGTCATTTTGGTATACAAGGCACTTTTTGGGTCATTGAAAGGTGAGAGAAAGAACCAGGATTCACGATCAATTAATCTCGTTCAAAGATACCTTTTCATCAAGAAGAATGGGCCTATTTTTGCTTGATTTCAATTTGAATTGAAGAAATCTTCAAGCGCTTTTCAAGAACTATCTATGTATATTCTAAAGCTCAAATATTCTTTCATTTACACATTTCAAACAACCGGACAAAACATACAAGGTAACACTCTTGGAAATTGTTCCACTACAAAAATTATGCTAATTTAATGCAATTTTTTATTGCACTTTCTGGCTGTTGTAAAATATGAAATATAATAAACAAGATTGCCAAGAGACCACAAACCATTACAAACCATTTTGCTTGGCTCCAGCAACACACCCCACTTGAAATTATATGCATGCCCAAACCATGTGGGTTTGCACATGCCCAACCCCGCATTGAATGTGTTTTGCATTTGATAATCAAATGAGGAATGGTAGGCTCATCGAATCTAATTGATGTTTAGATAGATAGATAGATAGATAGATGGATAAAACCGTGGAACTGGCCTCATACATAAAGGCTTGCCACAAATTCCGATAGGCAGCTTTAGGTTTGATCAACTTATATATTGGGACTGGGAACAGTTTAAAGTTAGAGCATAATTAATTGCAATAACATTTCATAGACTAGAGAATACATTTAGGAGCATTTATTGAGATGGCCGTTTGTATATGTGTAAATGACAAAAACATGTAAAATACATTAGAAGCAGCATTTAATTCGGATTATCCCTTGGACATTCCTTAAAAGTGTCCAGATTTGCAGCACTTCGGAGTCCTTTTTGTGCCAGCCACTTGCATTTACTTAGTCCCAAACTGTATTCTACCCGGAGGCCTAAGTCCTGGCCATTATTTACGAAAAGGTAACAGCCGAAGGATACACAAGGCATGAGCGTTTCTGCATAAGCCATCTTACGGCACTAAAAGCTACTCAACCATTGCCGTTTTTTGCCAGATTCAAGGAGCTAATTGATGAAAGCTCCAAATGGTCGTGTAGCACGGTACTCTGTTGGGGCGCACTGGAAGCGTCACTCATGGATAGGTAAATAGACATGGCAGCTGTTGGGGAAAATCTTTCAGCATTTCGCAAGCACTCGTCTGCCTCCACTTTTTGGTACAATTAAAGGTGTTGCTAAACGGCAGCCATTTACATATACAAGGGGAAGATTCCAAAACGAGAGAGAAAGGGAAAGTCCTTGGGGCCAGGATGGCTTTCGAAATTAGAATTAATATTTTTCCGCTGAGTCTACACAATTTCAAGTTGGTTGCGCGAAAAATGCACGCTCTGGTCAACAGCCTTGGAACGTGTGGTGGCCGTTGCCTCGGCTGCAGCTGCTTCACTGTACCGTACCTCTGGTGGGGCTCTATGGGTCTGCGTGTTTGGCACCTTTTGGGTGTCTTGATGCTGAGCCAGCGTTATTCCGTGGTGCATCTGTGGCAGCTTCAGCATCAGCTCCAGCTCCAGCTGCAGCAGCACTGATAATAAATTCATGATGAAGAGTAATTTATACACTTCATATGCGGATGCGGCACTCCATCCACTCCACTCCACTCCTTCATCTTCCTTGGCCGTTCTGCTGAGCTTGACAGAGGTGCCGCCCTGCCCTAGAATGAGGTAGTCCGCAGCTCTTGGTGGTCGATCCAGCCATGCATTAAACCTTAAACTATTTGCAGGCCACAATTACCGAAAAACTAATTACAAAGCCTTGCCTCCTTTGAAAAGTTGTTGCCACTCAGAACCATCGCCCGCAGCGGGTCAGAAGCGTCAAAGAAAGCAGCACAGTGGCACAAGTGGCAAGCTGCTGTCCTCTGTCCGCTAGCTGCAATTTAATTTCAAATTAATCTAATTTTTTGCACTTTTTTGTGGCATTCCATCTAATGAGAAATGCTGATTTTGCACTCTGCACGACGTTGCATACAAATGAGAGAGGTCCTGGTCCAAAGTGGTCCGGACATATCGCTTCCCTGGCCCTCTTCGCATAATTAGTGGCTAGGTGCTCTGCCATTGATTGGTTACGCACAGAAATTGGGCGCCCGAAAGTGCTCTGCTAATGACTCAATGGAAACCACTCGTAATTGGAGCAGTGAAGCAAGACTCGAATAAGATTTCCATGGAAATGCGGCTGAAATTTGTGTGTTTATGTTCGGGCCAAAAAGAGAGCTGTAGTGGAAATGGTAAAACGAATTCAAACGCTTTAAAAAATGTTTAAACCTCTTTTAGAAACTTTATCTACCATGCCAAAAACATTTCCACGAAAATATGAGTTTTTAGAGCAGATTTTCCATGACCAAGGGGCGATATAAGCTAAAATCGGATTTTCAGACATTTTTGTTCAACAATTAAAAAGAAAATTGAATAAAAAACTTTTGTATTTAAACTTTTCTGTGCTTTGAGCAGATTGTTCTTACAAAAGGTATTGTTTAGAAATGGAAAGCATAGAAACGTCATGCTGCAAGTGGGAAAAGTGTGGAAAACAAATGCAGCAGATAGTATCTTGGATATTAAAGAACACTTCCCATACTTTTAGCCTTTTACTCAAGTGTCGAACTATTTGCTTGTCGGTCCATACTTACATATGTGTGCACTTGTGATTATATGCAGGTCGTGCGAGTACGAGTTCGGGTATTAGCCGGATTGTTGGTCATTTGGTTAGAGCACATCTTTAGCACCTCAAAGATGAGGTTTGTGTTTGGTCAGAGCAAAGTAAATACTATTGCAGGGTATATTGAAAAGAACCCACGGACACAGAAGACACTTAGTAGTAAAGATTATTCCCATAGGAATATCAAGAACGAGAAGAGAGGAAGTAAGAGAGACAGAACCAGACAAAACCTCTGTAAGTCTTTTAAGTAGAGGTCTCACAGCCATCCGGCAGTCCAGTTGTTGTCGTCCCTTCAAGAAGAGCAGACCGTCTTCCATCAGACTTTCGCACTGCATCAATATAACTGGTTTCTGGTCCATCCATATCGATATTGGATATGTTGCTCGTGCCGCTTGCCCTCATCGCACTGTTCGGCCTGGCCCACACGCTGCCCCTCGATGACGTGGAGTCATCGTCACTGGCCACAATTGAGCAGCCGGATGGCAGCGGGCGGGTGGTCTTCGATCAGCGTCAGACGGGCCAGTACAACATTCACGTGAGCATTAAAGATGTCGCCATCATCGAGGTGGGTCAGAACGATCTGACAGATGTAAGTAGAGGGAGAGGGACCCAGAACCAGTTGGGTCCAATGTGCAGCTAACAAGTTGCAAATGCTAAAAATAGCCTGGATCTCTCTGTTAGGGTGCGTACAACGATGCTGAGGATTACTACTACGATGACAGTGCGTTGACCATCAAACCCATCAAGTTCTCGACTGAGGCCATTGGCAGCAGCAGCACAGCAGCAGCGCCAGCATCACCAGCAGCAGCAGCTGCGACGACATCCACGACAGCGTTGAGCAGCCCCACAGAGACGCCAACCACTACCCTAAAGGAATCCCCGGAGACATCTGAAGCACCATTGAGCAGTCTGAATAGCAGCTCCACCTACAGCTCGGATCTCTTGGCGGATATCGCCGCAAGCAGGATCAGACCCAAGTCTAGGCTCAACAATCTAATGATAATGGAGACGCCAATTGGCGGAGCACCGACGGCCGCACCACACCTGCCACGTCTGCCACAGGCGCCGCATCCCAGATCGAAAGATATTCCCATTATGGCTGCCGCTGCAGCAGTCACCCGGCCCCCGCTGCCGCAAGGCATTGAGTACACCCCCCCGCAAGGTCACAACTCGCCCATCTTCAAAGTGAAAGTTCAACGATCCGCAATGCCGGCAACCAAGAAGCCCGCCCGCTGTCGCTCACATCAGTCACGGAATGCCCAGGGCAAATGTGCCGACTCGATCTAGTAAGCCATTGACACTGAATCTCTGCTAAGCAGCTTACAGCATCCTCTGATTCTTTCCCCATTTCTTGTTTGTTCCCTTCCATGCGACAGCCGTAGACTCTACAGCATGCTGATGGGCCTGAACATCCCGGGTCTAGTGGGGACACCACCTCACGCTGCCGAGGCCTCATAATGCGTCCGGCCGGAATCGGTTTTCACATCACCATATCAATGTAGTTTAGAGTGTCATACATAGACTCTAAGTGCCTCTAAAATGTATCTGCTTGAGCTCATGCTTGAAGTAAAAGGACTGAAACGTACTATCATAGGGTAACAGAGACTTCTTATTGTAATGGAAGAGCTGTCAGTCCAGACTGACTATGGTGATTCATAATAATCTTCTACAAAAAGAGCCTAAAGAAGATTACTTAGCAAAAAGTGGGATTATTTTCGTTACCTATACGAAATGCCAATGACAAAACAGAAACCTCTCAGAATCGAGAAAGCAAAAAATCATCTTTAATAGGAAAAAATCATAGAAAAGAAAAAATAACTATCTGCCCATGATGTTGACATACCTCTCATGGTCTGATAGAATTGTGTATGAAAAGAGATCTGATATGAGTTCTTCTTTAAAATATATTTTCATATCTGGATAGCTCCCTTCAAATGGGTTCTGTCAAAAAGGTATTTTTAATATTCAATAGCCACGGCTGAATAAATTATCATAAATTGACTTTGAATTCGCTTTTCCATCCTATTGATTTCCCTTTCACATTAAAACACTTTCGATGTTGTCTGTCAAAGTGAATTTATATAGTATCTCAATTTATAAAAACCTTTTTTCCATGTATCCTTATTAAATGCAATTAATATTTTTACCCTGTATTTTTTCCATTCGTGTTTTTTAATGGCAGCTGGCGAATGACAAATACTGCCTCTGTAGATTGGATTGGAATTTAAAATGAATTTGCTTTCGATTTTCCTTGGCAAAAAGGAAAGCATTGCTGGGTGCACTCTACTTTCCATTCATATCAATTTGGGTTTGTAATTTCCGACTGCGCTTAAATGGCAATTGGCAACGACTGCAAGTGCAGGTGCAGCTGCAACTGCACTGCAACTGCCTCTCAATGGCAATATTACTATATATTCCTATGTGGGGATGGGGATACATATGTGTGTATCTGTGCATCTATGGATGTGGTTGGGGCATCTGTTGCGTGGGTGCTGCAATCTCGAACAGAGAGCTGTGCTCATGCCCGGCTATAATTAAATTAATTGCTTAATTTTAAGTTAATTTGCCACATGTGGCATGATGTCCTTGTGAGTGCAGACAATGCCCTCACACGGTCATGCGCAGCACCTGCTCTGCATCTCTCGGATTGCCCATAAACATAAACTTGGCTTATTCCCATAGCAACCGCATTCAGGGCTTACATCGAATTTCAGCTGAATGCAAACGAATTTCGGTAGATGGAATTCTGGTGTGTGGTGGCTCGCCCACCAGCACGAGTATCGTACCTGATTTTGAGAATGTATCTGCACTTTCAGTTAATATAAGTCTTTTATTGATTAGGCACAAACTTCTGCTCTGGGATATGCTGAACAATCTAAGGACAAGTTTGTGTAATTGACAACAGCTGTTCGTGTTCATTCAAGCCTTTCATCTTCTGCTGCTCCAGCATCCTTTTGGGCCAAGTATCTCTGGCTCTTTTGGGCCAAGTTACCCTCACTAATTACCTACATTAGAAAACCTGCACAGACTCGGCGCACACTCAATTAGCAAAAGTAAAGTGCACTTTGCATGCAGGCGGAGGAGTCCTGGACAGAACCGAAACAATTCCACAACTTTGTCGTTGTTCTTGCTCCCATTCCCACTCTCCGTCGCACTCCCCTTCTCAGTCGCTTCCGTTTCCGTTGCGCATTATTTATGCCACCCTTTGACCTCTCGCCTTGAGAAGTGTGCGTCGGGGAGCGCTTAAAATGCCATCTTTTGTCAAATTAAAGCCAAACGAAATAAGCCACCCGACAGTCGGGCCTGTGGTGGGGTGGTGCAGTGCGGACTCCCAAAAACACACAAACAGAGCACTGGCCATTCACCCAAAAACGGAACTTCAACAGACACCCAGCTGGAGAGTCAGCAGAAGCAGCAGGGGAAGGAAAGTATTGCGGCCGGGAGTAGGATTGGATGTTCGACTATAAGCCGGTCGCCATCTTGCAGTTATTCGCAAGCATGGCGGCAGACCCAGAACACAGACAGCAAACCCAAACACCATCCCAAATGGCGCAACAATTGCAGTTTATTTATTACATAACTGGAGGCGTTTATGCGTCGAAAAGCGTGCAGCAAGAGGAGGCACCACCGACTGCACAGACTACACACTCCGCCAGTCTGTGCGCCAGTCCAGCATAATAATTACACTCGCTATCAGCGCCGACATTTCGCAATGAAAAACTGCATTGGCAAACTAGCCCGCAACCTGTTGTTGTTCTCCCAGGACCCCGGCTGAGTGCCAGAACCTGGACCTGGCCCAGCACTCCGAACACAGATCCTTACTATGCAAAGCCATTAAACGCAAGTGTCGCACGGTTTATTCATGGCTGGAGAATGAAGATGAAGCGGCAAGCGGGCTGCCAGTGACAGGAAAGACATGAGACGAACCGGAAACCAAAGCAAAGCAGCTAGTAGATAGCAGATTGTAACAGGCAAACGGTGTAGCAAATTCTCGACTTTGTATTACGCAAATTTTAGTTCGAGCCAAAGTCTCTTGATTGAATGGCTAATAAACTTACTCAGCTTGGTAAATCTTAAGTATTTCATTTCATTCCTATCTGTTATCTCAGAAGACATCAAAATTGAAGCCTAACGAAGATACATCAAAGGGTGCTTGCAACTGCGTTTATTCTCTGGTGCCATGTAACAATTGTGTTTAGTTTTTAAAATATAAATTTGATAACAATTTAATGGGGAATTGGGAATAAGGAATCATTCTTGATTGGACAATCGTCTCGGAGCCACCTTTTGGACGTTTTTCTGAGCGACATCCTTTTCAATGATCTTCTCCCTAGAGACTTTCTTCCCAGGCAACTTCTTAGGGAGCACCGCCTTAGAGGCATTTTTCCCCGTGACTTTCTTCTGATTCCACTTATCCTCAGGAACATTCTTCTCAGGTAACTTAGCGTCCTTGTCCCCAGTAGCCATCTTCTTTGGACCCTTCTGCCCAGGAGGTTTCTCTTCAGGCTCCTTCTCCTCAGGGAACTGCTTTTCAGCGACCTTCTCCTTAGATACTTTCTTCTCAGGTAACATTCCCTTAGCGTTCTTATCCTTATTTTCGAACTTATTCACATGCTTCTCCTCCCCAGGCCCCATCTCTTCAGGGTCTTTGGAACACGAGTCAGTGTCCTCTTCAGTCTCATCTTCAGGATCCTTCATCTCAGACTCCTTTTCCTCAGACTTCTTTTTATTACGCTCCTTTCCCTCAGGCTCCTTTTCAGCCTCCACTCCAGACTGATCATGTCCGATAAACTTCTCAAACTCCTCAAAGTCCTCATAAATGTCCTCTTCAGAGTCGACTTCACGTTCGGAAGACTCCGCAGACTCCTTCGCTTTAGGATCCTTCTCCTCAAGCTCCATCTGGCGCTTCTTGGTCATTTCGCGCTTGTGCCAATCCTTCACATACTGATTGTTGACTGTAGCAATGCCCTTTAAGTAGGTCACGTAATCAATGTCGCTGTCCAGCGCCAGGATTTCCCCGTAAAGATGACTCATCTTGAGATTGAATCGCATCAGGGCCGTCGGCACATCGTACTCGTTCACCTCGGTCTCGTCGAAGAACTTAACCAGGACCTGTTTCTTCATGGTCACGTAGACGAAAGTGGCATCTGGCTCCTTGAGCTGGCGCTGCAGCTCCAGCATATCCTCCTTGACCTGAGTCAGAGCTGTCGTCTTCACCTGCAGCTGGTCTCTCAAGAGATTGATGACATCCTGGCACTGCTTGGCCTCGTTCTTAAGGCGATCAGCCAGCTTTTTGATGTCGCCATCGAAATTCAAGGGATCGGCCATGTAGTCTGCGATATTGTTGATGCGCTTCACATTGGGGAGGGCCAGGGATTCGGTTCTGTTCTTGGCACTGATCAGATCTGAAAATTCCACCAAACTAGAGGTTGCCATTATGGAAATACTCAATTTTATGCTTGTATCGAACTGAACAGTAGCTAAACAGATGTGGGGGAATACTGATAGAGCAATACTGCCATACTCTGATCTCAGTGAGTGCTTTGTTCTGAGGGAGAAACTTCCGAATCAAGGGAAATTTGTGTACTATCAGAAAACGTCACTTTTTTAACTGCCTCCACTCCTCGCCGATAGTCCTTCCTCTACGGCAATAATTTATTCTACGTATTTCCTGTCTAAGATCCGAGACGTTTACTCTCATCTTCCCCAACTCACTTCGCTCTAGCCAAATGAATTTGAATTAATGTTTACCCCCTTGAATTTGCAACATTTTAGAGGCTTTATTGGCTGCTTGCAACGATTCGCTTTCATCTGATTTGCTCACTTTATTTTTGGGATTTTGCTCTCCATACCATTCGGTTTTTTGGAGCGCTTTTCCCAATTTGATATGCACTAAAAGTCAATTTATTCAGTTGACTTAATTTGATTTCAACCTTCAAATCATTGAGTTCTCTTTTTATTTGTATATATTTGTACTCTGTCAGATCTGAGGGAAACTGCCTTTTCCTGCTCCGCTTGTACCAAAATGGTTGGGCAATGGGATTTATTACGAAATGAGTTGAAAATCCTATATTCCAGGAAATTGATCACCAATTTCTGCTCTCTGATTGTACGACTTAAGCCCAAATGCAGCCTAATTTTGGATCCGTCGCAGGCACAGAAACCCAAAACCATCTACATCCGATGCGAGGAGGAGAATTCAGCGACCGCAGTGGAGCCTCAGCTCCGGCATTGTTATCCAGGATTCAATTTCGATACCCAATATGCTCCACATAAGCGAGAGCGAG